TACTCGAAAGCACTTTCATCGCACGAACGATCATTTGAAATCCGAAAAATAGCTCTCCCTCCGAATCATCCCGACTTGGCTGCTTCCTACAACAACATCGGTATGGTGTATAATAACACGGGCGAATACTCGAAAGCACTTTCATCGCACGAACGATCATTTGAAATCCGAAAAATAGCTCTCCCTCCGAACCATCCCGACCTGGCTTCTTCCTACAACAACATCGGTAATGCGTATAGAAACATGGGCGAGTACTCGAAAGCACTTTCATCGTACGAACGATCATTTGAAATCCAAAAAATAGCTCTCCCTCAAAATCATCCCGACTTGGCTACTTCCTATAACAACATCGGTAATGTGTATTACAACATGGGCGAGTGCTCGAAAGCACTTTCATCGTACGAACGATCACTTGAAATCCAAAAAATAGCTCTCCCTCCAAATCATTCCGGCTTGGCTGCTTCCTACAACAACATCGGTAATGTGTATTATAAAATGGGCGAGTACTCGAAAGCACTTTCATCGTACGAACGATCACTTGAAATTCGAAAAATAGCTCTCCCTCCAAATCATCCCGACTTGGCTTACTCTTACAACGGTATTGGTTCAGTGTACGACAAAATGAAAGAGTATTCGAAAGCTCTTACATATTTTGAAAAAGCACGAATTATTTGGAAAAAGTCTCTTCCTCCCAGTCATGGGTATATTTCACATGTGAAAAGAAACATTGACAATGTGAAAAAGAAAATGTAATTGTTTTTTTTAAACAAGAAAATAAATTGCCCTTCTTGAACACGTTTGGCTCGCCGAAGCGCACCAACTACAAAAATTTCGCGCACGCGCGACCAGGGATACCCTCCGTATTCTGTTGGGTTGTACAGTGGACAAAGTCGGCAATGATAAGGCAAACATACATTTATGTATGTATGACTAGTACATCCATGATCATCATCTTCTGAAAGACGATGACGAGATGGATGCTTCTCGTCATACATACATAAATGTATGTTTTAAAGGCCTACCATCTGCACGCCTGTACAGGTTACCAACAGAACGTCGGATAACCCTGGGAAGGTTCATTTTGTTTTAGAGCCACCCTCGAAAGCTCCGTTTGTTTTAATTTTTTTTTTCTTCTGTTACGAGGAACGAGAAGAAACATAGAAACGCGAAGAAAGACGACGTCGACGGAATTTTAATACGCAGCGTATAATGACAACCGGTTTGTTTTGACGCATGCTGTGATATTGAGTGCACGATATCTCTATTGTCTTTACACATGTTATGTTCAATTTATTTTTCTTTTCATCTGGAATGTGTAAGAACAAATGAGATGTCGTGCACTCAATATCATATTATACGAGTGATGACTGAACGAAAGAAGAACAGAAAAAAAAATTATCGATTATTCTGTTTGATTAGTAACATACATATATATAAGAGATAATTGAAAGAAGAAAATAAAAAGAAATTTTTATAAATTTAATCATTTTGTTACTTATTACATAACGTTTTAGAAAAATACTATTTTACGATCATATTGATTGAATATAATATAATAAAACAGAAGTTCAAATAGATCAAGTGCAGTAATTGATTTTTTTTAAATAAGAATTTACAGTCAAAATTATGGATCTAATATAAAGATTTGTTGTAGAATAGTTTTTCGTTCATTCATTGATGAAGGTGAATATTCAATCGACGTTAGACTTTTTCCGTCAACTATTTATTCATTTATTATGATTATCAAAAAATGTTTAAACTTATTTATTTAGCTTTAAAATGAATGAATTGAATATAAAATAAACAAAATGGATAAACTAAGTAAATTACTTGAAATTTTAAAATTATTTTCAACAACAACATGTTATCGAAAGTTTTTTTTGATCTAGAGATAAAGATGAAAATAATTCTAAATCAGTTACGACTATTGTAAAAGTATTATAAAAGAAATTTTGGTGCTTGTCTGTTATCGCCCCGCAAAAATTTTTAAAATTTTTTTAAAATTTTCATTCTGAGATAAAATACGATCATAATAAATAAAACAGCACATCGTTAGTACTAGTCTTCTGGTGGCCAAAATGCGGCGATATCATCTAGAATCGCATCAAACGGGTCACGCCCATTCAGCCTTGAACACCACATATGTTCACATAGATATGAATCGACAAAAGTTCGATTGGTCCCTTACTTTTTCCTGTTTTCATCCTTCGGATCTCGCCAAGCTCTTTCGATAGTTTGCGTGTGGGCTCCATTTGTGGATCTACGAAATTGTACTTATGATTGATGGTAAGGTGAGCAAAGCCAGTGGCAGCCAATTCGTTGTAACTGCGCCATTTGTCTATTATGATTGTTGTTCCGGGTTTGACTCGATTGGTGATGTTCGGAAGAAGCGTGGCTGCACTTTTATCTGGAACAGTTTCCATAAAATACTCACCAGTTTCTCGGCAGATTCCACCTAAGACCCATTGCTGCGGTAATACATGTCCAGCATGATTCTTTCTTCGACTGAATAGACTTTCGTCGATCTCCACAGTGATATTGATTCCTCCAATCATCATTTGTGTCTGTTGAAGTTTCCAAGCACATACTTCCCTTAAGTAGTTGTTCCAATCCACGACAGCATTTTGACCGATTTGAAGTTCATCTTTTGAAAACTCCACCGATGTCCTTCTTCGAGACCAAGAATAAATGAATAAAATGACTTTCGAAGAGGAAGTCTCGAACCAACTAACCAATTATTTGTGCGTAAACCTTTATCTTGACGACATCCACTTAAGCAGCATCTCCATCAATCTTTAGCACCCAAGGACAATTTCATTTTGTGGTCATTCTTGCAAAATCTTTGAGCTTGTATTATTCCACGTTGTTGTAAATATTCGACGCTTGAAATCTCATCAGGAATTTGTTCAGACAAACGTAGGAAATTCATGATGAAAATGTGTACAGAATATGATGATCTGTCACGTACTATCTACTAGTCAAGATAAAGCTGATCGTCACACATACATTTTTATTGTTTAACAGACGGATATATATATGTGAGAGGAAAGAACCTACTAGAGAGATCTACATGAGCAATATATATAAGATAGAGATAGAAAGGAAAGAAAGAATGCACTTGAATATACTAGAACCATACATACATGCATTCATGCATGATAGCAGAACGAAAGAAGATATAGATGAAATCACATACATGCTGGCATCACAGCAATAATAGAAAGAAAGGAAATATGTACTAGTCATAATACGGGCATGATAGGAATGATAATAAGATGAAAAGATAGAAAGCTAAAGGGTATGATAATATTAAAAAAGTAAAAATAATTTTGCGGGACGATAACAAACAAGTACCGAAATTTTTTTTTTTAATAATTTTGTATGAATTGTAAAATAGGATTATAAAAGATAATCCTAATGTTGAATAAAAAGCATTCAAAGGTTTGTTTTATTTCAATTTCAATTAGATGTTCTATGGCGATTTGACGAATCAGCAAATGTAATACATTCGAAAAAGATTCAACCATTTTATCAGAATATGATGAACTTATTTTTTATTTTCTTGGTTGATCAATTAATGATGAAAAAATCAAAGTAAGTAAAAAAGAAAATTCTTGTCATCTAAGAAACCTCTTCTAAAGAAGTAATCAGAAAAAACTTATGCGATTGAATAGAAACATAGAAAATGATTGTACAATAGGTAGTCACATACTATTCGACAAAATACCGATTGAGAAACTGTCCATCATTTGCAGTAAGAATAATAAAATTTTATTTATCATTAAATATCAATGAGAAATTAAATAAATTAGTCATAGTTGATTTACTTACAATCGTTATAGTTAAGATATGAAGTCGAGTGAGAATGAATTTTTCTTTTTTTGTCCTAATATTAATAATAAATTATTTTCAGGAACCTCTCATGTCCTATTTAGTGAATATGTTATCCTATGATTATAGCACGTTTTCTAATGATAAATGTAACTGATAAGTTTTCTTTCAAATAATTATTTCAATTAAATATAATTTGTCTTTTATTTAAAACGGATCAATTATTTGAGCATTATAATCAAAATCATAGTACAAATTTTAATAATTGGTTATCTTAAATTACATGTCAAAATATTTCAATCATGATCAAGAAAAAGTCAACGATCAATAACAAGAACTAGAAATATTGGTA